CATCAACAGCACTCAGTGGATCATCAAGAAGGAAAATATCTGCATCTACATATAATGCTCTGAAAAACGTAAAATATTCCATTCTGTACAAATAAAGAATGGAAAGTGTATGTCAAAACATTTTTTATTAAATTTTAGGTACTTATACAGGATGTTTTATAAGTCTGGCTTACAGATTAAATTTACGTGTTTTTATTGTTTCCAAGTAAAGCATCGCACTAAGTAAGAAGTAACTAACTTTATCTCAGTTGAATTACACCGTCACATTATATTTTAGATTAACTTACATATATTTGCAGTAAAAGTTGCATACAATACACGATTAAACTTACCTTGCTAAATTAATTCTTGCTTTCTGCCCACCACTCATGATCACTCCTCTTTCCCCTACAAGTGTCAAATCTTTTTTAGGAAATAAACGTATATCCTGAAATAAGCCACAGTGTTACTGAGGGTTACTTAGTAACTCTGTGGCATATTGTCCCGCTCAACATTACCTACCCCAACTTTCACATCCCTCTTTGTACTAAGAATATTATACTAATTGATAAAAAAGCGCGATTTGTTTTATTATTTATCCTAATTTTAATCTCATTCCCCATATGACATATAGCCTACTTCCATACTCTGAAGTTTCCATGCTGCATTTCTCTGCAGTTTCATGTTTAATTTGATTCTTTCCCGCATTTGCTTTTATTCTAATATAGTAAATGCTTAATCACAGGTTAAAAATATGCATTTATTTGTGGAAATTACATTGAAATTGTGATAAATTGTGTCTGAAAATGGTCGTATATTTAGTATTCTGTTATTCTTTGAATGTCATATATTAAAATTAAAAACTTTATACAGATAACAGAAGAACAAAAGTAGCAAATTATCATTCGTTGTTCGTGTAAATGCAGTAATAATTTTGTACGTTATTTCTGTTTAGTGCGTGAATATTCAAGAGTATCTTTTTCAGGAAAGTGATTTTTCGTAAAATATCTTACATTTTGCTAAATTCATCATTAAAATTATTATTTTAAATGATACTTCGCTATTGAAAATTTAACTTAATTACAGTAAAAGTCATACCATTTAATGAGCCAATAATCGCTAAAACTGAGTAGAGTCTGCGATAGAATTAGCATGAAAAGTATAAGTATCTTGAAGAGTAAACCTGCTCCGGCATTCATATATGCTTTATAAACAGATATTCCAGCTATTCGAAGTTGGTCATTCTTGTTGGATATTTCATTACATGTTGTTTTCTACAAACAGTAATACTTTGAAAAATATATATCAACGATTCATAATAATAAGTATTTATTTAAGTTGCTAGCCAGAGTGGCCGAGTTAGTTAAGGTGTCAATATACCAATCTGGAGGTCACTACTCTCATTGAATGGCAAAATTAAACCATGTGTTTTGTGAGGTGATCTGACCCTCATCCTTCAGTTTCACCCTCGTGGACCTGGCTGTACTTAAGATTAGCTTGAAGCAAAGCGCTGATAAAGAGTTAATATATATAGACTATATTAGCTAAATTTTTTGATTCTTTGTGGATTACTTTATTGACTCTGCCTTTTAACTGTTTTCACTCCTGTATATATCTATATCTATATATATTTAGAAAACATGTCTGTTATGTAAAAACAACAAGAATGGACTTCATGATACATTGATATATCATGAAGTGTTTTATGATATATGAATATATAAATATATAATTGTTTAATGTAAATAAAATCACAAGTCGTTGTTATTATGTGTCAAACTGACTTTCAAGAAATTATTCGGAAACTTTCTATGAGTAACTGACTGCTACTTAAGTGTCACATATATAAAAGCCAGGAAAACTTTTCGTGGACAGATCATTGGTAAGGCAAGAATCCTACAACTAGTGTTTGTAGTTTTACTTACTCGGCCTCTCACTGGCACAAAACAATAAGAAAATTAACAATAAAGATATAATTAACAAATGCATTTAAATATTTTACCAGCCGTGACTTACTAGGTCATTATCAATATTTTGAATGGGATAAATCGTGCCAACTTGTATATTGTAAAATGCTTCTTCTTCTTTAAAAGAAACGTTTGATAGTTCTATCTTTTGCTCCGAAGTTTCTTTGTCTAATACAATTCCTGTATAATTTTCTACGTTTTTCAATTCATTATACTTACCAAGAGCTTCACATTTTCCCTAAGATAAAAATCATGTTAACAATTTTTGTACTGTATATTTATAGGTTAAATACATTATTTTTATAAATAAATTAAAATAAAAATATATTTATATTTACATGTAAGTTACANTAACGTTTTTACAGCCATGATTGAATTGACGAAAATTTTGCTAGCGATAAAACAGAACAGGACCCAAATTATTCTGAAAACGAGAGTGACTGGAACCAAGTGAATCAATCAATTCAGATATATCAGATACGTGTGCCGGGATGTGAACGGCACACGTACTAGTAAAATCTAAGTGACTCGTACAACATGAAATTCATATAAAACGGAATTATCAACAGTGTTATAGGGGGGTCTACTGTAATAAATCTGGCATAATTACTTTGAACTTCCAGACTTCGAATGCTATATTCCAGAGAAATTAGATTCAATGTTTGAACAATGCTTCTATGTTTATATTGCATACTCAATGAAAAAATCCTTTCCCTGCATAAATGCCATCCGTTCTGCGTGCAACTTATCTATCAATATTTTTATCGATTTGAAAGCATCTTTTCTTACGCTCGTGTGTTATCAATACTTTTCCCTATATATCTTAAGAAAAAGGACATAAGCACACCAACAGTGAATGGAATTTTGATTTTATT